GTCGCTTTGGATAAAAGTGTCAGCTACATGAATAAAAATGTGAATATAAAATGTAAAATGTGGCATTACTGTGAAACTACAGAAACAGTTTCAGCAGCAATCAGTTTTTTTTTTAAGTTTTGAACTACATCATTTAGACATAAAAAAAAAATCAGTATATGAATCTCAACAATGGTGACAATAAACTCCGAACATCACAAAACAGGATACAAAATATTCACAACAAAAACAACAGCAAAATAAAAGCAAATAAGAAAAAATAAAAAAGACCATTCAGCTGCATAATTTATTCATCCTAAAATGCATGCAAGAAGTTTTATGCTATGCTGGCGCCCTGCTGCATAGATCCATAACAGACAGCAGAATACCCCATTACAAATGTGCTTTAACAGTTACAACAGCCAGAGAAAAACTCATGTTCAAAAGTCAAGGGTCCAACTAAAGCAAACACTGATCACCATAGTGGTGATCAAACAAACCTGTTAGTTTAATAAAGCACATATTTCTTAACAAGAACTTTTGTACATGCTGAAAGAAATTATGTAAAACTATTTTGTAAACTGGTTTCACAGTCACAGTGTGAAAGGGCCTAGTTATTGTGTTTCTGCTCATCTTTTCTCTTTTTTTCTGTTCTTGTTTCTCTCTCCTTGCTTATCAGGTGTTCATCAGTGTCTGAATTCACTCACTTCTTTTCATTCACTGTCAAGTGGACTATTTTTTTTATAATTCTTTTTAAACCATATAAATGATTACTTTGTGGTAATGCAACTGTTTAGCATGTTCATGAACAAGAATGTGTATGTCAGGCCATAAATCCACAAAAACTTTGCATGCACATTTGCTTTGTTGTTGCCACCTCTTTGGCACATACCCCCCCCCCAACTTTATGCCTGCCAATGGTCAGTTATCTTTGACGGCAATGGTCCTGACAGAATTGCATTTTCATTAAGCCAGTCTGCCTTTCTGCATTGGTCTGAACAGACAATTAGCAAGTGAAAATCTGACCTAATTTTCATGCCAAATATTTGTTTAGGTGCCAACACATTAATTTGTATGTTTTAGGGGTTGTGATTTTACTTACAAATGTAGGTATGAGTCAGATTGTCAAATTCATACAAATTTTATAACAAACATTTTATAACATGACAAAACCTGTAAAAATGTTATTTTTCAGGTTGGCGCAGCTAATGTGCAGTCAGTGATTGTCTCAAGTGTTTGATTTTCATCCTTATTGAGTTCATTGAGCCACCATATTGAGTTTGGTGATTTCCCAAATGATTTCCCTACAAGCAGCCTGTCTCCTCCACCTTTTTGTCTCTGGTGAAGCTCGCTTAATAGACCTTATTCTGGGCAGCGCCATGACAGGTATGAAAGTGAGGCTGTGAGGGATAGACTTGCCTAGTTTTCAATGCCATCCACTGTAAGAAGCCATATAAAGATCCTAAATCACTTCAAATTCTCCATAGCTCATATTGTCGGGAGTTTTTTGTCTAATGAAGTCTCCTGGCAAGATATGTTTGAAGTGTTTCATCCACATAACAATCCAAAAAACACATTACATAGTAGTATAAGCCACTGAAGATATGACTGTCTCTCCCTACAGCCTCGCTTTCATTCCCATTAAAAATCAAAGATGACGCAGCTGTGAATCAGGTCTATGGGGACGCCAACACAGAACACAACAAATGCTGGTGAGCTATGTTTTAACCAGAGATGTCAGAATTATTCACATGGATTATTCAATCTATTCCTTTTTCCCTCTCAATTTATATCTAAACTTCAAAAAATCTCTTAAAAACACTCACACCTGCATTTTATTAAAGTTTAAGCAGACAACCAGGAGTTTCTAAAACCTGGCCACAATTCCTCCTATTTATTGAGTGAGAACACTTATTTAACACGGCTTCTAATGAGCTATGACGGATGGGGGTGATGTAATCACTCAAATATCCTCTCATGAGAGCAGTTATCAGTGTTTTACTGCACAGCTCGGAGTATTAACACACAACTGAACACACAGATACACAATGAGGATCACTCAGATCAAAAGCATCTTTAAGTCAATTGTTGCCAAGTAACAGGTTCCCATGGTAACCAGGCCTGCCTCACTAATCACTATTTGTCAGTTAGTGGAGTTTGTGCTGTTATGGGACACCCCACTGGCGTGTGTGTGTGTGTGTTTAACAGACTCATTAAAGTGATCATACAGTAGTGGATAATAAAAATGTAATCTCTGTTCCAAAGCCTAATTAGCTGCCTTTCTAGAAATCATTATAAAGCATCATCTGCTTCCTGACACAAAAAGAGAAAGCAGCATAAGGGGCATTCACACAAAACACGTTTTTATGGTAAAAATTGTGAAATGGAAAAAGACGAGGTCTTGAGATGCGTTTTTTTTTTTTTAAACGTCTCATTCTTTGAACGCTGTGTCCTGCAAGACACGATGAGCACAGCGGTCAAACACATCCATCTAGCGCATGTTATTTTAAATGGAAAAGTAGCGCAGTGGAGTTGAATTTTATGTATCTCAGAAAACATTTGAAGCGACCCAAGATGGTGAGACTATAAATATACTTTATATAAAAATAGTCCAAAAAATAATTATTCCAAATATTATATATGTACGGTTCCAAGTAAGTGGTATTTCCTTTACAAGGACTTAGACACACTTGAGTTATTACTATTCAGAAGCTCACAATGCCTTCAGTCATTACTTGGGAGTTATCTTGTTTTTCACTTTAGATTATTATTTCAAATAATTAGTAATTCCTTCTGGAATATTTGGTTATAATTGAGTTATTAATAGTGTGTTACCATGATTTTCACTTTAAAATTAATTCTACATTATGCATTATTCACATTAATTATGAGCCTGTTAAAGTATACAACCCCATTTCCAGAAAAGTTGGGACTAGAGATCAGTGTTGGGTGTAACTAATTACTAAGTAATTAGTTACTGTAATTTAATTACTTTTCCCTTGAAAATGTAAAGTAAAGGATTACTCTTAATTTATCTGTAATTTAATTATTGTTACTTCTGATGTAATTGAGGGAAATACTATGTATAGATCAATCCGATCTCACAGCGATTCGTATGCATTTTATGAGGTGTCTAAATGTTACGACCGCACTCGTACAAATTCGTACGAATTATTGTAAAATATGTATGAAAAAAGTGTGAAATGTCATGAGATCAGACATAAAACAATAGTGGGTTTAACATCAAAATGTATTGTCTGATGTTATAAAAGTATGTTTTTATAATGTAGCCTTCTCCACCTTGGTCAGTTTAAGGATAATTCATACAATTTTATAGTATTTATTAGAAAAAAATAAAACAGATTCATGTCTATCCTTGTATTATTCAGCTGGTTGAGATTGATATGGGATTTAATTAGTAATTAAAAGTAATTAAATACTTTTTAGAGAGAGTAATTGGTAATATAATTACACTGTTGAAGAGGTAATTAGTAACTAATTAATTACTTTTTTAGAGTAACTTACCCAACACTGCTAGAGATGCACTGATTACAGTTTTCTACACTGTAAAAATGAATATGCTTTATCTAATCAATAAAATTGTGGCAACAGATTACAAGCAATATTTTTTATTAAATTGAACAAATTAGAATTGAGTAATAATTAATCAAATTAACTTTGTAATTAATTCTAATTTGTACAATTTAATTAATAATATTGCTTGTAATATGTTGCCACAATTTTATTGATTAGATAAAGCATATTATTTTTTTCAGTGTAGGCCGATCCCGATTTCCGATTTTTCCTCGAGTTTGACCTGCCGATACCGATTTTAGCCGATTCCGATTTCATTTTTTCAAACCACTTTACAGCACACACACATTTATTTTCTATCTTCTCTTTAATAGAACATTTTGAACAGATAATCGCTATAAAATGGAACTATATAAATTACTCCTGGTGTGGGAAATTCACACACATCTAAAGTACAGTGTTATGGAAGAACCATTTCCTTTTCACATCCAATAACCAACCAACTAAAAAAAAAAAATGGATGAAATCATATTTATTTTGTCCATCAAAAGTGTGCTTTCACTTTAATTGAGCGCAGCAAAAACGGACTCGGCGCCGAAACCCACGCTTCACTGCTGTTCACGCGACGCTCACACGCTGCGACGGCCCCCGGTGTGAATGCACTCATTGATTAACATGCACGGCGAACAAAAAAAAAAACGTAATTAACGAGGTTTACTACATGTGCGTTCCGTGTGCACGTGTGATGGTAATGTTGCGCGACGTTAATCACGCGGCGCCCGAGTGCATTTGACCGGCATAAAATCCGCATATGTCAGACTGACCGGCCGATCACCGGTCATGGCCGATCGTGAAAATCGGCATTTTGTATAAAACAATAAAATCTAGAATCTGTGATTTGTTAAAGGGTAACTAAACACTAAACCAACTTTTTTTAGTTAATGGTCTGTAAGAATGGGGCTTTTTAAATGCTGATCATTGATTCGAGTAACTTTTTTACCATTTTGGTATAAAGTGTTTTATTTCTACAATATATGGTGTAACGTATATGACGTAGGTTGTCGCCCACTTTGACACTATACGAGATAATAGGATCAAATCTTGTGTCCCGACGCCCGTTGTCGTTTACGAATCCCCACGGCACCCTACGTCAAACGGATCGTGGCAAAATCGGGCTATAATCGTGTAATCTGAACCAGGCATAACTTGGATATTCTGCAATCTTTTCACTTTTATTTTGACTCTGTGCCAATTTTTTCGGAGTGTGTTTCATATTCATGAGCCTGGGCTGCTTAATTTACCTATATATCTGCAATGGAGGAATTGTTTTATTGCTTATAGTGCCTCTTGTGGACTTACTGCCTGAAAAGTCCAGCAAAATAAACATGGAGTCTCTCAGGTTTCGCAGAAATGTAGGCAGTCACATATTGCCATATTTTTTTTTAAATATGGCATCTAACCTGAGGTCTGTTGCGATTTTTACTTACTCTGATAAAAAGCATTTTCTCTCCAACACGGTAACGGCCCTGCGATTGTCGCTCTATGCAGAACTTATTTGGGCACTTACAAGGTGGATCTTCAGAAATGTGCTTCACCTGAAACACACATTACATGTAAAATGACAGAAAACTGCACATTCTCATTTGTCAGGGTTAAAGTTACTGTGGTACCGATAACAATAGTGATCAGGGCTCTCAAGTGCCACGCATTGAGCGTGACAGTCACTAATTTCGGTCTTTTGTCACGCGCTCCCGCCACACATTGTATTTCTCATGCTGAAAAACTGAGGAATCAAGCGCCTCTCCCCTGGATTTCTTAGTCGAGCCTGCCACTTATCAGCCAATCCAAAAAAAAAAAGAAAGGGGTTACACAATAGCCAATCAGAAAATGGAAATATTGTATCTGGGTAAGATTCAAGATAAGTTATGATCTCCTTTTTTAATGTTACAAAAAATTCGCAACTTGTTTGACACAAACAATGACTGTTGTTTGAGAATGTAGAGTGTAGAGATGTCACTCTTGCCTGTCTTTAAAACTTGAGAGCCCTGGGTGATATCTGAGAAAGAAAAATGTTACTCACAGCATCATCCAGTAGCTTGCCGGTACTTTTCTTGCTGGAGTTGGTCTTGTTGAATGGAGAGACAGATAACGAGGTGGACGGAGAAACGGATGGAGACTGAGAATTGGAAGCGGGAGGTACAGGAGACAGTGGAGGTTCAGGTCTCTTCTCTTCCTGTTCAATCTCTTTCTCCAGCTTTATAAGTCCAGGTGGCTCTACCTTATACCTGTCACAAGAGTGACCATTCACACTTTATGGTTTGATTACATGTACAACACAATTGTGATTTTGAAACATACAATGCAAAATTGCTTATTAACAAAAAATGTTCTTTGAATGGGTTTGGCCAAATTAATTTGCCATTACTTGTAAGATTTAATAATAAATTATATCATTTTTTTATACATACTATGGGATTAAATACAATTATATACATAATATAAGCACTGTAAAAATAAAACCGTAATTTTTACAGTAAAAAAGCAACAGCTGTGGTTGCCAGAACTTTACCGTTAAAAAAAGTACGGTAGGAACGTTAATGGTTTTACAGACTTAACTTAAACTTAACAGTAATAAACCGTATTTCATTATCTGATAAAATGTTGATTTATCTACCTTTCGTAAAATTTATATCTATTTTGTACCATTGTAATACACTGAAATCATATGTTCAATCCAAGCTCATCACAAGTAAGAAGGTTAATACTTATATAAAGAAGCTGCAGTGTCATTCACACAAACATTAAACTGCAATGCAATAAAACGCAATAAACATTAATTTAACAATATTAAACGTAACATAAAACTCTTATGTACATAACTGATTAGAAAAAAAAAAACAAGAAAACTATGAGGAACCATAGATATTTCAACAAACATGCATCAAATGTGAAGTGTCACACAGGGAATTGTGGTAATGTCAATTTACGGTTTTTCACTGTAAATTATACGAGTTGTTCTTTTTCACTTTCAAAAACTGTAAATTTAACGGTATTTTACAGTAAAATTATATCACAGTTATTTACCGTATATAGTAAGGAAACTTTCTGTTAACCAATTAACAGTTTTGTACTGTAGCATTTTACCGTTACGTTACCGTTGTAACGGTCTTTTACCATTAAAATCACAATTATTTTTTACAGTGAGTCAATGGGAACCAAAACTGTTTGGTTACAAACATTCTTCAAAATATCTAATACACTACACACAAAAAAAAAAAAAAGAAAAAAAGAAAGAAATCTTACTCAGGATTTTTGCATTTTTATTTAGTACAAATGTATAGGCTAAACTTTCTAACAAAGATACATTTACTTATGAAGCTAAATGAAAAGATAAGTCTTGTTTAATTACAAACTGATTCAAATTAAGTGCGTTTATGCTTAAAACAAGAAAAAAATATCTGCCAATAGGTCAGAGAAATAAACTTGTTTAAATTTGCATGTCAAGGACATGTATTTTGATTTAGGAATGATGGAACATTGTTGGAACATTGTTTTTTCACCAAATAACCAAAGTCATAATATAACGTTTGGAGCGAAATGAGAGTGTGAGTGACGAAAGGATAAAATAAAAATAAAAAATGTAGTGGATTACCTGGATGCTATTCTTCCCAGCTCCAGCAGGCACAGACACACTTCTCTTGGCTGTTTGTGTAACACTAGAAGAACATACAAATAAAAAAATGAGACATAAAACATACACTGTATTTTGAGCTAACATACTGTACAAATCAAAGAACTACTGAAAACATCAACATGGATGAATGATGAAACCAAGACCACAGAATGACACGGTGATGATGCAATAGTAAGTCACTATTACACTCACTGACAGCTAATGTTCTCAGCGTGAGACTCTCAGTGTGTTTTGAGCATGAAGTGATTGAACAACACGCCATGCTTTTCTACATTTCCCATGATGATACAGTGAGTGATGGCAACACAAAACCACATGCATTCAAATCCGTGATCTCCATATCAAACCTCAGAACATCCCACCTGAACATAACGCATCCATGTTTTCATTTAGCTATTTCTGAGGGGGAAAGAAAGAAAAAAAGTAATTAAGTATTGTTTTTTTTCTTTTTAAAATGGATGAATAACCCTTAATTTACCACATCATGTACCACACTTGCTAATATGCTAATTTGAAGATTAGCCAGTTTTTGGTATATAGAACAGATTTTCAGCAACACACACTTCACAAATCTGTTCCTGCACTGGTTTGCATTTTAAATCTTAAGAGCATCCAAGTCGATTTTTATGAATTTTCATAAGTGAGATTAGGACAGCTTTTCACACTTAAAGCAACACCAAGGAACTTTTCTTCTTCGGTCGCCCTACAGGTTGGAAACGGAATTGTCCATTACCGCTGACGTAAATAATTTAGCCTAGCACAGCCGACTGTCGCACACACACTCCCTGTTTATCCGGCTTTGGAATGAACGATGTCCACAGACGAGGTAGAGTATGTTGCATGATTTCATGAAAGTGTGATGTATTGCAACATCAGAAACGCAGAAAAACTAAATAATGACTATTGTAACGCTTGACGTAAAGCAAGTCAAATTTGTAGTTTTCTTATGTATCATTAGAACTACAGAAACGCGACCCGATTCTGGCAATCTTACACAGCGTGGTTATAGCAGATATAGGACAGCAAAGCGAATCCAGAAGTGCCTTTCACCCTGTTACGACTTAATGAACCACTGAAACGATTTGGGAAACATTATTTTAAGGTAAAAAAATCTTACTTGTTGCTTTAAGTTTTGACAAATACATCTACATTTGATCTCTGCGTCATGTACACACAACACACACTCTCTGCACAGCAGACTGATCTCATGAAATGGCGTATGTATGACACGCCAATTCATATTTCCATTTTTGGCGTGCTATCAACACGCATAATTTTCAGCGTGTTTATGAACGCCGTTGACTTAAAGGAGTAGTTCACTTTAAAAAAACTTTTGCTGATAATTTACTCACCCCCATGTCATCCAAGATGTCCATGTCTTTCTATCTTCAGTCGAAAAGAAATTAAGGTTTTTGATGAAAACATTCCAGGATTTTCTCCATATGATGGACTTTAATGGGAACCAAACGGTTCAAGGTACAAATGAGAGTTTCAGTGCAAAGTGTTCAAAGGGCTTTAAACGATTCCAGACGATGAATAAGGGTCTTATCAAGGACCGTTCGAGTCATGACTCGAAAAAAAGATTTGTTCATTTTGATGAATGAGTTTGTCACGAGACAAGAGAGTCACGAACGCGCATCACAGAACAGAGCAAGGCGAGCATTTGAGCTTATAAAACTTAAACTTTTTTATTTATTTTTTTTAACCCTCAGGTGCTCTTCGTTTCGGAGTCACACTTGTTATCTTCCCGGTCAAAAGTGACCGGACACCTAAAAATGAAACTTTCTCCATCCCAGTAAAACCAATGCAATTTATTTTTGTTCTATAATATTTATTCTTTTTAATTTAGTATTTTGAGACAGTTTGATTGAATTTATTAATATTTATGCAATATTTATGGTTTATTTTTGCCATGGAAAAGTATATATATTTTTCTAAATATATAGAATTTTTTTTAAAAAAATTATGAATGCAGTATTTTAGTATACTATAGAGTCTTGGCCTTCAGAAAAAAAATATTTTTTGAAGAAAATTAGCACCATCTAGTTACAGTATAGAGAAAAAGCGTAGAATCATGGTGTAACCACTAGCCTTCGTTTCGGAGTCACACTTGTTATCTTCCCGGTCAAAAGTGACCGGACACCTAAAAATGAAACTTTCTCCATCCCAGTAAAACCAATGCAATTTATTTTTGTTCAGTTATATTTTTTCTTTTTAATTTTGTATTTTGAGCCAATTTGATGTTACTTATTAAAGGCACTCTATGCAAGATCTGTACCTTAATATAACAGCTTCAAAGTCGTTTTGGTGGTTAACAAAGTCATAGTAGGGCGAATCATCCTGGTAGGAAAGCTTGGGGGGGGACGCCGCCGGAAAAACCAGCCATGCAAGTTTGAGAGTGGCGCCCCTGACACAGCGCGTGAGAATCACGAAATGGTTTACGGCAACGACGTCACACGCATCAACAACATCATACTGTATGAAGCTACTTTCGAAACAGGGAAAGAGAATCGGACCGTGCTAGAAACCGGACAAGAGTCCACTCGGTCGGGCTTTCACTCGTTGGCGCGAGCTTAAAAGCTGCACTGGATTGTAACTGCGATGCTGACCTGGCGATCTTGTTGATGGACTTGTAAGTAAATCTCTTATTTATAAACTTGTTTGTATTTGTATACTAGTTGTTTCTATATTGTATGTTGCTGCACTGGCTTGTGGTATGTAATTTTTTACGGTGCTGTTCGTTCATCCGTTGTTGATAATAAGACCAGTTCAATAATTCTCACATGTCTATAGCTTTCGATTACCAGAGCTTTAAGCAGACTTCCTAAAAACAGTCGTTTCTCTTAGTCTTGTTGTTTTTTCCGTTATGTTTTATTGCCGAGCTTGCCACAAGGGCTAGTTTGCCAGCTGAACGCAGGTGTTGTGATGTGTATTTATCACGTATCTTTAGTCCTGTGTCTGGTTCGGATTTCTTATGACGTGTGTAAGTTACTGTTATATCAAGTTTATCTGACTAACAGTACACTTCCCGACTGTAACTTCAAATTGTGTTGATTATGAATCAATCAAATCTTGACGCTGTTGATGTTGATTCTTGCGATTACCATGAGGACATAGTCAATATCTCACATAATTATTAGGACATATATAAGCCTAGAGGTTGTAAATAATTGAACACAATTTGCTATTATGATAAATTGTAATCATGTCTAAATCATAACGTCCAATGTTATGAAATAATGCGACGTACATTTAACTTGATTGATGTCATCTGACATTTTGTAATTTTAACATTACAATCAAAAAACATGAATGAAATTATACAGTAGCCTATACACTATAGGCTATTTACTTCTGATTTTGCAGAAATCATGTAAAAACGCTATAAGCCAGCAAACGCGATAGGCAACTTTATTATTAAAAAGCAGTCTAGCACTTGACAGTATATGCAGTAACAGGGGAATAACGGTTATTTACGACAGTGCAAGTACACCACAGCGGCTCTAGAGGTCACTGTTTTACAAAAAAACCAGAGAGTGCATAGTGTGCCTTTAATATTTATGCAATATTTATGGTCCATTTTTGCCATTGAAAATAATACAAACTTTTTTATATATATACATTTTTTATTTTATTTTTTTAAGCAGTATTTTAGGTTAAAATAAAGACTAGGCCTTCCAAAAAAAATTCTTTGAAGGCAGATTAGCGCCATCTGGTAAGAGTATGGAGAGAAAGCGTAGAACCATGTTGTAACCACTAGATGAAATGTACAGTTCTCTATGGAGAGGCATGTGAATTCCCCAGCTGTTCATGGACACGTTTACTTATTTTTTTTGTTATAGGTGTGTGTGTGTGTGTTAATTTCAGTATTGAAGTTAGTGTCACCCCTTCACTGCTGTGAGCTTTTCCTGCATTATGACTGAATTATTGACTAGATTTCACATATTCTCACAACATTGCTCTATTACAGACACAGTGGTTCATATAGGTGTGTGTTTATTTGTGCGTCTGTTTGAGTGTGGGTGAGTGTCAATATCACAATCTTGATGTTTTAGAGTGTCACCCCTTCATTGTTGAGCACTTTTTTTCTGCATCATGGCCAATTTGTAGATTGCAAATTGTAGTTTGAAGTTGTAGATTGTTTTTTTGTCAATTTCCCATTCATTTCCTATGGTCGGTCATGTTTGACAGAAGAGCAGAAGTGTATCTCATTTTTTTACGACCACTTAAAGTGCTCGAATCATGACCTCAATTTTTTTGTGTGTTCACATACATGTTGCCATAAAAGTCACGAAGTTTCGTAATTTTCTGATGAAGCAGTGATTTTTTAGAAAATCAAAACAGATTTTTTAATCACAATTTATTGGTGTTTTTGTGTATAAAAGTGTGTGTGTGTGTGTGTGTGTATGTGTGTGTGTGTGTGTGTGGGTATGTCTGTTTTGCACTCTTGATGTTTTAGAGTGTCACCCCTTTAATGCTGAGCACTTTTTTCCCATTCTTTTCTTATGGTCGGTCATTTTTGACTGAAGAGCACAAGTGTGACTATTTTTTTTACGACCACTTAGCATGCTCGGATCATGACCTCAATTTTTTTGTGTGTTCACATACCCAATGGAATAAAAGTCACCAAGTTTCGTAACATTCCGATGAAGCTGTGATTTTTAACATTTCAAAACATAAATTTTTTCGGTCAGAAATGACCGAAGAGCACCTGAGGGTTAAATGAGCGATCGTTTCGCTTGATAAGACCCTTATTCATCGTCTGGTGTCGTTTAAAGACATTTGAAGCTGCACTGAAACTCTCATTTGGACCTTGAACCGTTTGGTTCCCATTGAATTCAATGGAGAAAATCCTGGAATGTTTTCATCAAAAACCTTAATTTCTTTTCGACTGAAGAAAGAAAGACATGGACATCTTGGATGACATGGGGGTGAGTAAATTATCAGCAAAAGTTTTTTTGAAAGTGAACTAATCCTTTAACGTTACTTTACTGTATATATAAATCTATGACCTACCCCAACCCCGTCCCTAAACCTACCCGTCATTGGGGTTAATAGCATTTATGAGTCTTCCCCAACCATCCAAGGAAAAAAAAATATCGCTCCCCAGAATTAGATCTACATTTTGCTTCGTTTCGCGCGGACATTTAATGGCATGTAATGTACATACACGCGGAATCACTCGGACATTTAACGGTGTAGACATACACGCATACACGCGGATAGCTCAAAATGCGTATAGATAACACGCCACTTGACTTGAAAGTGGCGTGTATGTTTACGCAAAAGTCATGATGTCATCTTGCGCACATTCTCTCGAGTGCAACTCCAGTGGAAAGAGACCCATTCCTCTGCATTCAGAAAACTCAGTTCTGCTGTCCTTCTGTACTCCAGATGACCCGTTCCTATATTACTCTCTCGTTCTTTATGTAGTTTCTGCAGACTTCCTATTCTCTCCAGCTGTCATGGACATGTGTTGAAAGCAAAGCATAAATAATCTAACACTCCTTCAATGTCTGTATGTCAGGATCTGGCACATGACAGATATGTCTAGTCCTCATACATATCATAAGCTGCAGCAAAGGAAGACGACACACTTTCTTCCACCATCATTTCCACCAGCACAGTTTGTGCCTAGAATACGACGCTTTTGAGAAACGCAGTGAGAGGAAAAAGAAAACTTATTTATCCCATGACCAGCCAGAGACACAACTATCATCTTTATCTGACCCTCGCCAATTTCAGTCAATCAGCCTCTCAAGTTTGATTATATTTCCACATAAGGCAGTTTTATGTTTTATTTACACTAAAACAACCCAAAAACATTAGTAGTATTGAGATGTAAAGTTCCAGAATGTTTTTCCCCAAAAATATTTCATTAATTATGGGTGCTTTTACTTTAGCAGAACTAAGGTTGATATGCTAAAACTATTCAGAGAGTTGTCATGATTAAACTGTAAATAACAACATATCATAGAATAATTATGAGACATCGTGAGCATTTACACCCCAATGTCATTTTCAAAAAGGCCAGCTAATGTCATTGTGTGAATCTTAAATGCAAAGAATCAATGAATATTTTGACTTTTTAAAACAATTTATCAAATTACAAAATTATAAATTGACTTGAAGTGGCAGAAAAAAAAAATATTCTGTAATATTTGCCTTTTTATCACATCTACTGTAATAAAGTTGACCTCCCAAGCATGCCTGTCACTTTCCATGTTGTCACTTAACACTTTATTAGGTGAATATGGGCGTACATCAGAGTGTGTCAATGATAATATTTATTTACCATGAGGACATTTTATTGAAAGATTTTTCACTTGGGTTCAGTCTCTCTTAACAGGCTTAACTGTATTAAATATATGTTGAAGGGGACCTATTATGATTTTTTTAACCTTTCCTTTAGTGCGTAATACAACCTCAACGAACTCGCCTCCATACCGGCGTGATGACTCCGACCTCCAACCAGATGGAACTGGATTAATACTCTGAATGTTCTGATCCAATCTGACTTCTGACCTGTAATGCTGCCTGGATCATAATCATGCAATGTTCGCTCATGGGCCAGAGGAGTCTCATTTCCAACAGAAGACTCAAGCAAGGCGAGCATGTGTGCTTATAAAACTTTAACTTTTGTATTTATTTTTTAAATGATCGATCGTTTCGCTAGATCAGACCCTTATTCATCGTCTGGAATCGTTTAAAGCCCTTTGAAGCAGCACTGAAACTGTTTGAACCCCATTGAAGTCCATTATATGGAGAAAATCCTGGAATGTTTTCATCAAAAACCTTAATTTCTTTTCGACTGAAGAAAGAAAGACGTGGACATCTTGGATGACATGGGGGTGAGTAAATTATCAGCAAAAATTTTTTTTTTAAAGTGAACTACTTCTTTAAAGTCTTTACGGGGCAGATTTCAAAAAGGTAGAGATTATCATTGACCCATAAATCTTTGTTGCTGTGTCAGAGACGGATTTGTTTAAAAGACTCACCAAGTCCATCTGACTCGAACAGACAGGTGTCACCTACGCCCACCTCTCGACACCATGACAGGAAGTTGGCTGTGTTATCCCTGGCGAAAAAGGAACCAGACGCGGCGTTGGCTCGGCAAGGAATCCTGCGATTGGGGATCGACTGAAAGACAGAATTGGTTTCTCAATGGCGTTGTAGACGGACATTTGCATTTAATTGTCCTACATGCAAGAGGAATGGCCTTGAAGAGAAGGCTGGCTTAAATCTAAACACCCCAAACAATCTACGGCCAAAACATATGAATGTTGTTCCAAACCCGCAAGAGCTACAGTATGTGATGAGCTATAAGTATATGTTGATCAATGTACATAAATGAATGAAAGCCTAAATTAAATCTGTTCAACATTTAAAGCTATCACGTCTCTTAAGAAGACTTTGATTAAACCGTTCAATTAATATGGATTACTTTTACAATGTCTTTTTGGATTTGTTAAAGCATAGAAGTTTTGGTTGCATGGGTTTTCAATGGATTGGCAAAAATGACGAGTGAATATTTTAATTTGAGTTTCGAAGAAAAAAACAACAAAATAAATGGCTTATGGGTTTGGAATGAAATAATGGTGAGCAAATGATGACATAAAATTCATCTTGGTCAGCTCACATAGGCCTACTTCCTAGAAGCTACCGTAATAACCAAATGCAAGTACTGGCCAAGCAATCACAGCTGTGTTTAAATACATGTGTAAAGAATGTTTCTGACCTAATATCTAAACATTCAAAAACAGTTAGCTGCCTTGCTATCTAGAGTAAACATGACATCTATACCTTCAGCCCGTTCTCACCCCATTCCCAAGGCGTCATATACTGATGCTTTTGACAATGCGTAGACATCCAACGCACATGGCACCCTTTAGCGTCAATATGAGACGCAGATATATATCGGCCAGAAGACGCCTCCTAGTGGACTAACCCTAACCCTACCCTAGACCTAAACCTACCCATAACCGAAGCGTGTTATATTGACGCTACAGGGTGCCATGTGCCATGATGTATACGCATTGGCAAAAGCGTCAGTGTATGACGCCTTGGGATGAGAATGCGTTGATATCTTCTGAGCAAGCCTTTCGAATTCAAATGAAACTTCTTAAGTGAGTTACTTAAATGCCTCACTTCATGTGAAGAGTCAACTCACAATCGTTTCCAATACCAATAGAGTTAGCATATTGTTAAGCTAACGACTCACTACTTTAAGAAGCATAAGAAAAAAAAGGTGGTAACAATGGGCAGTTTGTTGGCAGGCAGTTAGGGCAAAACTGGCCACAACAGTTGTCAGGAATTCAGTCATTATGTATGTAACACTGTTAAAGGATCAGGGAAAGAGGAGGCGCGAACCGCTGAACGTTTCACACTTAAATCATATTAAAGGTCCTGTTCTTCGTGATCCCATGTTTCAAACTTTAGTTAGTGTGTAATGTTGTTGTTAGAGTATAAATAATATCTGTAAAATTATAAAGCTCAATGTTCAATGCCAAGCGAGATATTTTATTTAACAGAAGTAGCCTACATCGAACGGCCCGTTTGGACTACATCCCTCTGCTTCCTTCTTTAATGACGTCAGTAGAACAGTTTTTTGACTAACGTCCGCCCACAGGAACGCTCCCTCAACTTGCACACTTCTTATAACTTACTGTGTTTACTCAGCTCTTACGGTGATTTTCTGAAGTAAAACTGACGCTTCATCTTTTGTGTGATGTACAATAAATTTTATTAAATTCATCAGTATATGTTTGATCATCATTCAGACCTGGTCCGAAACAGCAGACTTGTAGACTATTAATAAATAATGGATGCATACAAGCAGATGACAAATACGTTATAATAACCGTAATTAAACTACTAAACTACACCTGTTCCATCTCTATACAGCACTCTGACTCTGTAGACATTATTGACCGACTGGAAATGAACACCGTTACTGAGAGTTTCTGATATTATCATCATTTCGTGAGATGAAATTGTCCTGAGAGACTGAGCGCGAGCTCATGAAGCTCCGCCCCCGCTGCCGGCAGCTTATTTGCATTTAAAGGGCACACACTAAAACAGAGCGTTTTTCTGAGCCCCAAAAAATAACAATTTAAACATGCTGTAGAAAATTATCTGTTGGGTATTTTGAGCTGAAACTTCATATACACATTCTCTGGATATCAGAGACTTATTTTACATCTTGTGAAAATGGGCATAATACAGGACCTTTAAAGAAACAAACAACAAAATGAAAGTAAACGTCAGTCCCTCACTGACGACTGCCTCACACACAAACAAAACATAAATAGTCCAGGCCTGGTCCTCTCTCACCCTTCACTGTCGTCGCTCCTCCTTTTATGCTACGTTCACACCGGACGCGAATAGGGCGTCAGGCGCGAATTATTTCAATGTTAAGTCAATGCAAAGACGCTTTACGCGCGTGAAAAATTCCTGAGGATGGCGCGAATGATTCATTTAGTGCCATTTGTGCATTCACGCGTTTGACGCGAATTCGCGTCTGCCGCCCGAGTTGAAAAATCTGAACTTTGGCGTGAATTGGCGCCGTGTTAACCAATCAGGAGCTGCTTGCTCACGTGGTGAAGTGTCTGGAGGCTTCAATAAATTATTTTGTTAATTTGACTAAATGCATGTTGGGATTATGCACAACAAAGCAAATGTTTTATTATCACTTAAAACATTATTTCTATATACGAGACATGTTCATTTTGTATTGAATGTTATTCATTCCATATCTAGATTATATGAAATAGTATTATGATGTAAAGACAATCAACATACATGTGCATAAGTTCGTGTCTGGATGTGAGAGAGAGAAAATAATCACAGGACAGGTTAATAACTTTTGAAGGCTGGCTCTATTTATCATCAAAACAAAAATAAATGACCGCTAGATTAGATGGATGAGGGCGAGGGTGATCCTCGCTCCGATGCGGGACAACAGGTCATCAAACTGGGCGCGGGACAGGCGGAAGTACCGCTGACAGCGGCCGTCATCCAGCGCAGCTCCTGGAGCGAGCAAATGGTGAAACTCGCCAAACGGTTCGGCTCAGAAGGGTCCGGTGGACACAAATATACGGCGACGATGATCCCCACGCCGCTGTTCTGCTCTCCAGAGTAAATACAGAGCGGTAACTCTCTTGATGAATGCTCGGTCGACATAAAAACAATGGCCGCCAACGGATTTCGATTCTGCGTCACGTGCGTAAATTTCGCTTCAAACGTTTATTTTGTTTTTTTTACGCGCGCCAGTTTCGCTCTTGACATGCGAATTAACACAAAGTGGTCAAGCGTCAAACTAGACGAATCAGGCGCGAATTTGACGCGCGATTCGCGTCCGGTGTGAACGTAGCATTATGCTTCCGCTCCTCCGTAAGAGATACGAGACCAGTGCGACGCGCAGGTGTCGCTCATTATCAATCACGCCACCGGCCTCTCACGGCTCTCGGCCCCGTCCTGCTAGCCACAATGTACCCATCATAATGTTCAAATCTCAAATGCACACATTATTTTTAGGTGAGCTCCATCCATCTATTTCCAAACTGCTTTTCCAATGTAGGGTCTTTTGGTCAAACTATTTCTCGAAATGCTGAGTAAGCTCACTTACATGACTAGAGCTCTGCTTCAAGACCAAAAGTACTGCAAACCAGAGATTCTGTTTACATGTTACACTCTCAGAAAAAAGGTACAAATACTGTCACTGGGGCTGTACCTTTTCAAAAGGTACACTTTTGTACCTAAAGGGTGCCTATTGGTATTGGTACCTTAATGGTACATATTAGCACCTGAAATGTACATATCAACACTTAAATGTACATATTAGCACCTAAAATGTACATATCAACACTTAAAATGTACAAAATAGCACCTAAAATGTACATATTTTTATCTGAAATGTACATATCAACATTTAAATTGTACAAAATAGCACCTAAAATGTACATATTAGTATCTGAAATGTACATATCAACACTTAAAATGTACATATTAGCACCTAAATTGTACATTTTAGCACCTGAAATGTACATATCAACACCTAAAATGTACATATCAGTACCTAAAATGGACAAAAGTGTACCTTTTGAAAAGGTACATCCCCAGTGACAGCTTTCGTACCTTTTTTTCTGAGAGTGTAAGACAAAGAAACACATGCTCTATGTGTGGAGTTAAAAGTAATAATTTCACTGGCCATGAGTTTAGAGAAGTTGTAGGAACTCTCACATTTCCCATCTCTTCCCCTGCATATCCTTATTCCCTACAGTTTTCCGTTTCCGCCACAGTCTCTCTGCGTGCTTTAGCCAGTAGACGTCACCCACTAACCATGAACAGTTCGTGATCTCTCTTGTTTTTGGTCTATTTCTCTCTCCCACTCTTCCCCCGCAGGGGTCCAGATCGCAGGCTTCTAATATCACATATGCTTTCACAAACACAACCCAATCAATAATCAATAAGGATGAGAGTGACAGTGATAGATAAATGCATGCACAAGGGGATGGTGGAGGTCAAATAACATATGAATATCAATGGGAGATTTACCCAGTGTATAGTTTCATTCAGCACACTAAGAAAGGTTAGATGAGGTCATGCTGGAAGAATGTAGTTGCTGGAATGGATTGTTTTCTCTCGCTTTTCGAGAACATTCTCAATCTTCCCCAATGACTAGTTATTAAAGTATTAGTTAATCTTGTAAAGTAATCTTCAATCATTGGAATGACGGGAAGAACTACATCAGAAACAAAACCAGCTATTATAATCTATAACACCTTTCTTGAAGTGTCCCATGTGTCTGAATTTTGAATTAGCTATAAAAAATAACATTTAAGACTAAAATAAAACAATAATGTACCCCGTTTCATTTCTTAATAAATGTTTGGGCATACACCATTGCTGAAAAATTGTGATCTGTGGGCAATCATTTGGGAATTATGGGATTGTTTCTGAGGGATAGTTCGCCCAAACAGGAACATTATGTCATCATTTACTCGCCCTCAAGTTGTTTTCGCCATCAATTTTCTTTGTTATGTGGAACAGAAGAAAAAATATTATGAAAAATGTTTGTAACCAAACATCTGTGGGGCATTTTAGTTTCATAAAAGTAAACATTTTAATTTCCCTTTAAA